CACTATCCCCAAGTCAGACAAATTTAGAAGATTATATTGTAGCAGAATTTCTTAAAGCCAAATCACATCATTGAATTGACATCATGGAACCAAGAACTGGAGGGGACAGAGAGGATGAAGTAAGGATGGAGATGAAAGAAAAATAAAAATTGTAATGGGCAATTCAGAGGGAAGGAAAGGAGACATAAAATTGTTTTACAAGACATGGATGAGGAGACACAATCCCATCTTCAAGAGCTGGTTTTCATAGACTGTAAAGTTGGAATGGAGAAAAGATGCAAATTAAAGATGGTAAGAGAAAATTTTGGGCCGGTGCTGTGGCATAGTGGGTAAAGCTGCCACCTGCAGTGCCAGTGTCCCAGTGGGCACTGGTTCAAGTCCCAGCTGCTCCACTTCCGATCCATCTCTCTGCTATGGCCTGGGAAAGCAGTAGAAGATGGCCCAAATGCTTGGGCCCCTGCACCAGCATTGGAGACGCAGAAGTTCCTGGCTCCTGGCTTCAGATAGGTGCAGCTCTAGCCATTGCATCTGCAGCCATCTGGGGAGTGAACCAGTGGATGGAAGACCTCTCTGTCTCTCTCTCTCTCTGTCTGTAACTCTACCTCTGAAATAAATAAATAAATCTTTTTTAAAAAAGATAATTAGAACCTCATATTATTTCATTATGGAAGAAAGAATGTAAATAATGCTTACCCTGAGCCTCTATGCCACAGGGTGTACAAGAAAGCCTTCTGAGAGCCCAGACACAGAAACAGGGCATTTGAACTATTCCTCTTCACTAGTGTGTCAGGGACTTAAAACGTTCACTATCTTTGTAGCAAGCACAAAATTTACTCAGTGTGTGTCTCCTATCTGCAGCAAATAAGGTAAAGCCTAATCTGTTTGATGTTGTTTTTTATTGAATTGGAATGATGGTTTTTGCCTAAGGTGTTGGTATAATAATTAACTGCAGGGGAAATGGTTCTGGTCATCGAGGATTCTGGTTTGGCTGAGCACTGGGAATTTTTTAAGATCACATGCTTGTCTTCTTAAGGACTGTCTAAACAACGAAAGTTAGGAATTGTGGATTAAGGTTACCTATTCATGAAAATTACAGGCATTATTTATTTTAACCAGTTCTGTTGCAGAAGAGGAAAAAGAAGCCACTAGTTTGACTCAGAAAGAAAGGAGTTTCCCTTTATTTAGAATTTTCAGTATATATAATCCCTAATCTCCCTTGAAAACACAAGGGATATTAAAATATTAAAAACCAGTTCATCTTGTCCTACACGGAATTGATTCACTAACATAACAATAAGGGTTACAAAAATAATTCATTCAAAGGTAGTTGTACATGCTAGCAACTAACTCTTAGACATATTACTGAAAACGGAGACCATAAAGAAATAAACAAAATCATATCAAATTACTTAAGAGTTACAGGCCAAAAACAGGATTATGGATGGGTTGCTTAATTCTCTCCAACTTGTACTGGCATTTCCTTCCCGAGATTCAATCCTGAAGCCTCAGCTATGTGCAAACCTCAGATGGGTGCTGTCCAACCACAGATTTGCAGTCCCGACCTTTAGTCTTCTGCTGGGAATCTTTAATTTCTAAAATCAAACCCCATATCAGATCCCTCTTTCGACTTCCTCATTTTTTTCACCAGCTCTCGGAGTCACTCTTGACAGCCTAAAAATCTTGGAATCATCCCAAATTCCTTCGTCTATTCACCTCTCCCTTCTTAATCTAATCAGTCACAAATTCTTGCCAAATCATTCCTTTTCATCCTCTATTGCCTTATTTCTAATCCAGACCTTATCTATCTCATACCTATGCTATCACAACAGCCTCCTAACTAGACGGCTCCAGCCAGTCTTGGTCTGCTCCGTGCCAGATTCATCTTTGAACTTTGCACATCTATTTTCTCTCCAGAAGCAGGTCTGCTGTGCCTGTCCATTTTGGTATCACATCTCTGTTCCTCTCCAGCTTAACCCTTTTTTCTTAATGGCCATTTACCTCATGTCTACTTCTTTGATGGAACCTCCCTGACAGCCCCCATCCTCTCTATAAACTTCCTTTACTATCTGTTTTCCCTTTGATACAGAGGAAGTGTATAAGAGTGTTGTTCTTTACATTTTATGACTGCTCCCACCTCCAGAACTGGAGGGAAGTTAGCCAGCCAATGTCTTCTTGCACCTTGCTTTTTTTCCACTTAGTATATCCTGGACATGTCTCCTTATCAGCATATGGGTAATAGCATATATAATGCTTTTAAAATGCTTGCTAAGTATGGATTCATAACTCCTTCATCAGCTCCTTACTGATGGCCGCTGGTGGTTTTTCCAGTTTTTTCTTATTATCAAACCAGCTGCAATGAACACCCTTGCATATCTTGAGAACATTTACATCCACCATTAAAATCACTGCGCGGCGATTGCTGGGATAAAGGTATATATGCTTTAAATGAAATTATCTTTTGAAATAATTTTTGCTATCTCTACCCCTTTTGGTATCATCAATTTTCCAGTCCCCCAGAGTGCAGACATTGACAGTGGACGCTAATTCCTACAGATTAGCACTAGACAAGCCATGAAGCCAGGAGAGGAGGAAATGTTGAGAGCCAGGCAGCAGACTCTTCAGTGGCTGGTACAAGGTTGCATAGAAAAGGACGAGCAGTCATCCTGGAGAGCACATTGCATCATCTGTCTAAGCTCATCTGGAGCTGAAATCCAATCTTAAAGTATCCATCTCTAAAATGGTGATAATTTTCACTTGTATTTGCTTTTCACAGATATGAACATAAACGAAATGTCCCTGTCTGAACCACTAGGAATTCCCTGAAGGAATGTTACTAGGTGAGCTCAGAATGACGGAGTTCAAACTTGATCAAAACAAAACAGGCTGTAGAGTAGCAACTCTTCTTGTCGTTTTAACTGCTTTTGTAGGACCAAATGTTTCCTGTGGTAGCCAGTGGGAAAAAAGTGAGCTTGTCTCTTAATTGCTTTTTAGAGTTTTGCCTATTTAGCATTTCTTTTTGAAGTCTGAAGATTTATGGAACAATAAATGCCATTTAGTGTGGTGTGTTATTTTGGATTCCTCACTGGTTTTAGAATTTGGGTGAAAATGCTTAGCTGAATGCTTATCAAATTTCAAATTATCCTAAGAAGTACAGTAGCTCATCCCAGTGAAACAAATTCAATTATGGAAGCAGCAAAGTGTGTTTTTTTTTCCTTCTACCATGATAAATGTTGCTAAATTATTGGGGGAGGGGAGCTTGTCTAAGGACGCCATAGTGAACCACAATACAAGTGTAGCCCACGCAAGAGGGCCAAAGCAAAGCACGTTTGCTCCGTCGCGTGACAGACTAATTTTAGGCCTCGTCTTTTTTCACGGTACTCAGCAATCCAACAGGATGTCTCACGCCATCTGGACCCAGTGAAGCTCCCCCTGTGTGGTCACCTCCCAACTCAGGGAGTGCCGCATCTTGGTGAACCGCAAAACCCGGGTGCCCGAGAGGAAGACCCCGAAAGCGTCAGAGGAAGCTAGGGAATTCGTCCTGAGTGCCTCCTTTCGCCCCCTTCCGCTTCCTCTGTGCCCTCCAAGCTCTCCTGTTTCTAGCGGCTTCCAGTACCATCCCCTTGACCTGTCCTGGGAGCCTCGCCCCAGACGGCAGGGACCTGGCTCCCAGCCTGAGCCTCCGCCCCTGCTCTCCAGAGCCTTGCATCCCGTCTCTTCCCTGGGGACGGCAGCGGATGCCTCGACGGCGGGCACGCGGATTCCCTCGCGGCTCCGACTCCCCGCGCGGGCCGAGGCCGCCCAGCACCCTCTGGAGGCCCCCGCCTTTCCTGCCGAGGCGGGCAGTTACGCATTAGCGGCAGCATGCAGCCAATTCGCACCCAGAGGCAAAGGCCAGGAGGTCCCGGGTTGGCGTTTTAAGAGAATCCGCTTAGAAACCATGGATGGCGACTCCAGTCCCAGGCCCCGCCAACCCTGTGGCCGGGCACGGCCCTCAGCTCGGCCTTCTATGCAGGAGAGGTCCTGAGGGGAGATCTGCATCCCACCCCGGGCTCACCCGGGGCCCAGGCAGCTCCGGCCTCACTCCGGCGGGGCGCCCACCCCGTCTTGGCCGCAGCCGGGCTCGGGGTGGGGGACTTCCCAGGGCGGGAGCCTGGACGGGAAGGAAGCGCCTGGCGGTGGGCTGTGTCTTCGCCCACTGCTCCAAGCCCCGCAGGGAAGCCGGTACCCGCCCGAGGGCGCCACACCGGAGCGCACCCCGACGCGGCGGGTCGAGGCGCGGGTGGCTCCCGGTCTCCAGGCCGCGCGGCAGCGGGCGGCGACGGCCGCAGGTCGGCCCGAGCGCTTCCCGGCCGGTCCGGAGTCCCGCCCGCGGCCGGAGGGGAGGGCGCCCGCCTCTGCTTTCCGCTGCGACGCCCGCGGGCTCCGCTGAGGTCACCGAGGGCCAGGCGCCCTGTGAGGGCCGCAAGGGAAGACGCCGCCCTGAACGCCCCACCGACACGTTTCCCAGAGCCCCGGGGCTCTTCGCCCTCCGCCAGCGCCTCGAGCCGCCCGGGGGGCTCCGAAGGGCCCGGGCGCGGCCTCAGGGGGCAGCCCGGGTGCCCTCTCGTTTGGTTGGGACTTTTTCTTCCGAGGACGGCTTCCCCCACCCCTTTCCTCTGGAAAGTCTGTGGTTTCCCTAGAAGACGAACAGACGCTGAGAGGCAGCGCAAAAGACTCCAAAACTCCCAAAGGTTCGGCCCCAGGGAGAACCGCGGGGTCACGGCGAGGCAGCGAGCAACGCATTCCTCCGCCCTCCTCCCGCCCACCTGGCCCCGGGGCGCCCCTCCCCCGCGCCCGCGCTCGGCCGGCGCCCGCCCCGCGCAGCGCCCCGGCAGCGGCGGGGTTAAGCGCAGGAATGCGGCGGCGAGGAATGTGCATGCAGATGAGCCCAGTGCGCGCGGGCGGGCCGGGGCGGGGCGCATGCTAATAGCATGCAAATGAGGAGGCCCGGCGCGCCGCGGCCGCCGCTGGGCCGAGCTTCCCGGATCCGAGCCCAGACGGCGGCGGCTCGGGCGGCTCGGGCGCCGCGACCCTCGGCGGCCGCTGGGGGACGGGGAGGAGGAGGAGGAGGAGGAAGAGGCGGAGGCTGCAGCGGCGGCGAGGAGGAGGGGGGTTCGTTCGCCTGTTCCAACGCAGACATGGTGGACTGACCCCCAGCGGCGCCGAGAGCAGGGTTTCCAGAGGCGTCCCCCGCCCGTAGGCCCGCCGCGCGCCGCGCCCCGCGCCCCTCAGCCCCTGGCCGGCGCCCGCGTCGGGTGCGGCGGCCGGGCGGGGCAGCTGCGTTTCCGCCGCGTCCCGCGCCCGGCCCCTATGGAGGCGCCGCTCGCCGGCGAGGCCGCCGACCATGCCTAGGCGGGCCGGGAGCGGGCAGCTGCCGCTACCCCGGGGCTGGGAGGAGGCCAGGGACTACGACGGCAAGGTCTTCTACATCGACCACAACACCCGCAGGACCAGCTGGATCGACCCTCGGGACAGGTGGGCGGCCGGGCCGCGGGTGGGCGCGGGGCGCCGCCGCCGTTGTTGTCCGGGAGACCCGGCGCGAGGGGTGTGGGGCGTCGCCGGCCCCGGGTGCCTGCGTCTGGGGATCCCGGGAGGGGAGCGCTGGACAGGCCGCTCCAGGCAGGGCTGCCTCTGCCAGCGAGCCGCCCTTCCCGGGCCCCCCAGCGCCCACGGCCCTCCGGGATCTTGAGACACTGCTGGCTCGCGGGGAAGGGTGGAACTGGTGTCCTGGCTTGGCATCCGTGTCCGGTTAGCGGATCCAGAGGGGCCGCCTGAGCCCTGTCCCGAGCTTGCCTCGGCTGAAAGTTGGCTGGATTGAGGCCGGAGGTGGGGATGGGCCGGGGCCCCTCCCCGGAGGCCCAGTTGCCAGGTGGGCACTCTCGCTGCCGGCCACCTGTGGCATCTCGGGCCGCACGTCCTTGACCGGATGCGCCCCCAGCATGGAGCCCTCGTGGTTGGGTGTAGTCGGCCTCGCCCCTCGCCGCGGTGTTCATCTTCACCTGAAAACTTGCGCTGACTCCTAGGTCTTGGAAAGGCGGATTTTGTTTTGGAGTGAGAATGGTGAAACAAACCCTAGCACTGAATCTTGGGTATGGAGGAGCCGATTTTACTTACTTATTTTGGTAACAACTCATTTCATTCCTGCCTGGAGGCCAAGAGAAGCCGAATAGAATTCTCGTCTAAGGAGTTCAGGAGCTGAAGTTGAGCTGAGCGTTCACAAGTGTGCTTCATCCCAGGAAAGTTTCCCACAATTATTGTAGTAATAATAGGAGGGATCTCTAATTGTAAGTGTAAATAATATATCATTGAGGATAACTTCTGTTATTTCTGGAAATTCTTTCACAACTTTCTCTAGAATGTGGCTTTAGGAGTTTTTAACCCTTCTTAGGTGCTTCTAGTAAACATTCCTGGATTTTTTTTTTTTCCAGTTTGAAACCGAATTGTTTTCCTTCTTCATATTCGCAGGTACTTTTCTCATAGGAACATTGTCTTTGAACGCTGTTAAAAAGCAGCGATAAGAAAGCCCTAAATGGCATTATAAATTTATGGAACAGTCCTCGTTACATTATCCATGAAGGTAGCGGTTTAAGTTTCCCTCCTGAAGTGAGGAAAGGCACCTGGGCTGAGGTTCCGTCTGGTCACAGCCTGTTGCTGGCTTGATGAAAGTTAGCACAAGCATCACACCTTCGCAGCCTCTCCCAGCATATTAGCTGTCATAAACTTCACGCTGCAAGCCAGCTATGTGACTTGTGCAGTTGCACTTTGAAACTACTTAGCAGATAGTAAATGTCAGTGCTGATGCTGTGCACCCCGCAGAGGCATGGAAGGCACCTGTATCAATATTTGACTTTTACAGTTGTGCGGTAATTCTTTCTGGTCTTGGGTACCTGCGGAGTTTCTGATAATTGAAATTGCAGCGCATTCTTGAAATAATTTAGACGTTTTAGTTTCTTCTGCTATGATTTTCATGTTTTATTCTGACTCCTCGTTGGTGCTTACCAGAAGGGATTACAAGAACATGTAATGCCTGGGTAAAACAAATAGAAAGTGAAGTAAGCTTAAATGCCTTGGCTTATCCCTGTCACTACTACTTTCAAAAATAAGGCATGTCCTTCATTTTAAACGTTTTTTTATTTCCTAAAGATTTATTTATTTTGAAAGTCAGCATTACAGAGAAAGAGGGAGAGACAGAGATCTTCCATCCACTGGTTCACTGCCCAGGTGGCTGCAATGGCCAGCTCTGGGCCAGGCTGAAGCCAGGAGCCAGGAGCTTCCTCTGGGTCTCCCACATAGGTGGTGGGCCCAAACACATGAGCCATCTTCTGCTGCCTCTCTCAGACCATTAGCAGGGAGCCGGATCAGAAGTGGAGCAGCTGGGATGTGAACTGGTGTTCACATGGGATGCCAGCCTCATGGGTGGTGGCTTTACCTGCCAGTCTACAACACTGGCCCCTAAACTTTTAATAATATTAGCAATTAATATGATTTTATTTTCAGGAAACTGGGTAACCATTTTTTTGGTGGTAGTAGGCAGAAGTGGGGACAGTTTTGACTAAGATGACTTGTTATTCCAATTTTCCTTGACACTGTTGGGTCTTTATTTGGAGATACAGATTTGACTGATTATGAATATTTCCAGCTTACAGTATTACAGTTTTAAATTATGTTCTGTGAGGTGAGAGTCACTGTAACATACTCAGTTTAAATTTGCTTATGTTTTGTTTTAGGGCGGCAACAAAGTGACTTAAGTTTTCCTACATTGTGTAAGGGGTGATGGGAGAGGATATTTGGAGTAACTGTTAATTCTTGTCAATTTTGTTACACACAGTAAACAATTGGAAAGAGGTGTCATACAGGCTAGTTGGAATATGTAGATTGTTAGGCCTCAAATTACACAAATCCTGAAAATAAAAAGTCTGCTAGACTATGGGTCTGGTGGACTTTTGACCATTGGTCACCTTGATTTCCTCATATTTGTTATGCTACTGTGTTCAGAAAAAATTTTGTGTTTTCCATAGTCTGTCAGAAATTGTCAAGTGTTTCTAATTGTATGGAATTAGAATTTAGGGGAGGCTGGAGGATTTTACAGGTACATAATTTCATACAAGAATTGTGACGCTGGAGTACTGAAGCATTATTGTCAAATACTTTTAAGCTTTTGGAAGTAGATGACATAAAGCAAGCCTTGTTGGGATGTGAGTAAAGATTTTTCTCTCTTGGGCCGGTGCTGTCATGTGGTGGCTTAAAGCCCCAGCCTGAAGTGCCGTCATACCATATGGGAGCCGGTTTGAGTTCTGGCTGCTCTTCCGATCCAGCTGTCTGTTAATCACGGGAAAGCAGCGGAGGATGGCCCAAGACCTTGGGCCTTCTGCACCCACTTGGAAGACCCAGAAGAAGCTCCTGGCTTCTGGCTTTGGATTTGCCCAGCTCCTGCCATTGAGGCCATTTGGGGAGTGAACCAGTGGATGGAAGACCTCTCTCTCTCCATCTCTTTCTCTGTCTACCTCTCTCTTTAACTCTTTAAAAAAAATTAACAAAAAATTTGAAAAGATTTTACTCTTCTACCATTTACAAATCGAGTAAGTTTAGATGAGTTTGAGTCTTTTAAACCTTCATATTTCAACTCTAAAGTGAGGGCTATGCTGCCTACCTCATAGGTTGTAGTGTTGACATTCCTGTTTAGGAACTGAGTGATGGTTCAGGTTACTTCTGAAGATAGTAGATAGACTGGCAACATGTTCCTTAGTGTACTAGCCACTGTGCTAAGCTCTGTGAGATCTTATTTTATTCTTCTATTAGTCTTTTTAAATTTGTTTATTTGAAAGGCAGAATTACAGAGAGAAAGGGGGAGAGAGAGGTCTTCCATCTGCTGGTTCACTCCCCAAATGGACATAACAGCTGGAGCTGGGCCCATCCGAAGCCAGGAGCCAGGCACTTCCTCTGGCCTCCCACATGGGTGCAGCGCCCAAGGACTTGGGCCATCTTCTACTGCTTTCCCCGGCCTTAGCAGAGAACTAGATTGGAAGTGGAACCACCAAGACTCGAACTGGTGCCCATAGGGGATGCCGGCTCTGCAGGTGGTGGCTTTACCTGCTATGCCACAGTGTTGGCCCCCTTCCATTAGTCTTAAAAGGTGATATTTAAATTGGCTGGCTACAGATGATAAATTGAGTCACAGAGAAATTGCCATTGCTGGTAAGTGGAGCTAGGATTTGAAGTCAGTCTTGACTGTCTAAGCTGGTGTCTTTTTTTTTTTTTCCCAGTTTATTTTATTTGAAAGACCAACCAATAGAGAAAGTCTTCCTTCCACTGGTTTACTCCCCAGTTGCCTGTAACAGCAAGGGCTGTGCTAGGCAAAAGCCAGATGTAAGGCACTCTATCCAGTGTGGGGAGCAACCCGGACTGGACTGAGTTACTGGAATTAAGACTTATTCTATGCATCTGCTCTCCCACAATATGGCGCTGGGAGAGGAGAAAACAGCTTCTACACAGCTGCCTCCAGTTCAGCCAATAAACTGTAGGACCTGCTCCTGATTGGAGGAGAGCAGCGTACTCGGCGTGTGGGCAGCCGAGCACGGATTGGCGGAGGAGGACTATAAAGGAGGAGAGAGACGGCATGCACCAGGAACATCTAAGGGGAACACCTGTGCAGCCCCCGAGAGAGCCGGCCGGCGGTGTGCCGCTCCCCTGCGGAAGTGGGGAATGTGGCCAGGGGGAACCGCCCTTCCACGGAGGTGGAAGGGATGGTGGCCAACCCGGGAAGGACCAGCAGCCAACCCGGGAAGAACCAGCAGCGAACCCGGGGAGGGCCGAGCAGACGAAAGAACAGCGCAGGGTCCTGTGTCGTTCCTCCGCGACGAGTGGGAGCGACATAATGGTGCCGTGACTCGGATATGAAGCCTAGGCAGGACTTAGTGTCGTTCCTCCACGAAGAGGGGGAGCGACAATCCAGCTCTCCCTCGTGGGTGACAGGGTCCCAAGTACCAGGGCCATCATCTTCTGCCTCCCAGGGTGTGCGTCAGCAGAAAGCTGGATCAGAAGTAGAGGTGGAACCTGATCCCAGGCCCTCACTATGGGATGTGGGTGTCAAGCACCACAGTACTTGCCCCGCAACTTGCCTTCTTAGCCATTCCTCTAGGCTGCCTTTACCCCTGAGCGTGCTGAGAGGTCTTTGGGTGGAGTTCATGGAGGGGCAGAACCTCTTTGCCCAGCGTTGGTTTTCCAGGCTGCTTGCCCAGTCTTATCCTAATAATAATAATCTGCCTGTCTATTATTCCTTGCCCCTTCTTCCCTGAGTGCCAGGTCTCCAGGAGTGGTACTTTGCAGGAGGACCTCCTCAGTGATCTCTTCTTTTGCTCTCCATGGACCTTTGATTGTACCAGTTGGTGTTTGTGGTAGGCCACAGATCATAGCCAAGTGGTCCGGTCCTTTAAAAAAAGAAAACCACACAAACATAGACAACAAAGATGTTTTAG